ACGCTCATGGCTGCAAGTACATTAGTGAGGACTGCAACGATGAGATGGAAGTTACGGTAAAGTGACAAAGACAGAAATATCGTTGCGTACAGCGTTGCCACTAGTTGTAATAAATATCTAACACTATACAGAAAATAATGAATTTTAACTGATCAGTAATCAGGAAATGTATAAGTATTACTCATTACAAGCTCATTACTGATTTTTGTCATAAATAATACCTTTTAATCGTACTAGTATTGTGTATTATCTATAATTTGCCACAACCTACAACTCTACTGCTTACTATATTTTGATTCTGCTATAAACTGGTAACGTAAAATTTAGATATGACAACGCGCTTTACTCTCAATCATTATTGGTTTTACTATAGACTTTTGTATTTTTTATTAAAACAAATTTGCATAAACACAAAATATACAATCAAGTCTCAAAAAAGTACTAGTAATAGTGCTCTCAACACGACTGAAAGTAAATTGATATAGTAAAGAATAGTTGCGCGTATTGAAAATTGATATGGAAGATTGTGAAGTGTCCATTTGAAACGTGTATCTGCTTCTGAAAAATGTAAATAAGAATGTCATTAAAAGAAATACTATCTTGGAAGAAATTACAAAGAATTCATCAACAGCTGTTCGAAAGGAAGTGATAGTGATTAGCAACAAAGTTGAAATACTAGAAAGCAAAAGCATATAATTGAAAAAAAAAGTTGTTCAAACTTGAAAAATTTTCAACACAGAATAACTTAGATAATTTTGTCATGAAAGAAAAACCTGAAGCTAACCAAGAAACATTGATAAAATAATTTACTAAATTAGTAACAACAAATAGCAATAGAAATTTGTAATATTTTTAGATTAGCAAGAAAAAAAAGGAACATAGGTATTTTATTTATTTCGACAGACGACAGGATATATTGAGGAGCAGACCAAAATTGAAAAAAAAGAAAGTTATTATAAGTGCAGATCTGTTGAATGGAGTTTTAGCATACCACTTCTACTTCATGTACTAATGATCACTTTATATTTCATATATATTTATTCAAGCACCGTACATAAGTAAACAAAAGTAAATTCACTCCCTTCGGCCTTTTTCATGTTTCGGGTCGAGATTTAATTTTTTGTTGGCATGTAGCGGGAAGGAGGTTGTAGGCTGAGAGTTGTTGTGCACCTCTGCACGAGGTTCGATCAAAAAATATGTTTACTTCTATACGGTAATTCAAGTAATATTCTTCTGTCATCTGTCATATCACTTTTTTTTTCACACAACAACGACATACATATTATAGAAAAACAAAACTGACAACTGACATAGAATTGTCACAGTGTATTATATATAAGTATACTGTGGAATTGTACTCTAACTGGTGAGGCATTGAAAGAAAGGAACATTTTGGCAAAAAGTCTCAAAGATGCTAGATCTGCAATATGTAGAGGAATGTAGAAAAAACAGTATTGTTGAGATACCATAAAAAATACAATGAAATAAATCACAAACCCCAAAGAAGAGCACAGTGCAAGGATAACCACCAGGGAACTGAAAGGCGGCCAAAAAAGACCTAGACAAGGTCATTAACAAATATTGCAATACGATCAACAGTGGACACAGCAAAAGTCAAACTTTCGAGAAGTTAATTCACATTTATCCTGAAAAAGTACCGATTTTAACAATGATTAAATTTTCAAATAGAAATCTTAAAATACATTAATGTTTTATCATTGGCAAAGTTACAGTTGAAAATTACATAAAGTTAAGAAGAGTTTTTTTGAAATATTCATGATAAACAGCATTCACATATCTATTTTGATTAACAATTTTTGTAACAAATTTCAACTAGCCAGCAGTTAAACGAATATTTATAGTAGCGTTTATGTCTCAAATAAGTAGTAGTAGTAAGCTATGTCTGGGGATAGTCAGTTCGTCACAATGCCTAATGTTAATATTTATATTATTTGAATATTGACCACTATTTTTGGGAAACAGGTCGGAATATTTTTTACAAAGCAGACAAGACCCAAGCTGCACTGAGAATTGTTCACCAAATTACCAATCTCGTAGTTCTCATTCTGGCCACCAGTTTCAGTTACTAGTGTTGAGTAGGCATAATTGTTTCTAGTCATTACTTCTTACAGAGCTTCTTCGATCTAGATTTCAGACACATATCGGAATTCCTTTTTGAGTAATTAATATTTTTTGTGAATATATTGAAGATCCCCAAAATATACCATATGAAATCAATGACTACACATTAGCATTGTAATATGTTCTCAAACTACAAACAGATATTTGATTCCTCAAATATCGTGTCACACCCCGAATAGAGCTTAATCTGTTATTTAATAAGTTTATATGGATTTTTCAACTGAGGGTTGCATTCATCGTGACACCTAAGAACTAGAATAGACTTATCTTGCTCTGATACACAAAAATATCCGAACATTGCTCCATTAGTAGGACTTCAAATTCAGGTACCTTGAACTTGAGGCTTCTTACATTCAGAAGCATCATCCAAATTTTCCGCCAATCCTTACAATCCTTATTCAGGTCAGTGGTACATTTTTGTTGTAAATTCACTGATAATCCCCTCCACTGTCAAGTACTTCAAGTACTTGATACCCACTTGGCTGGGCCAAAACTGTGATAGGTTAATTTTTGAGTGGTTCTTTCACTTTTACGAAGCCATAGTCAGTGATGACATGTCTATTTACCCGGTATATATAAAGCCATACTTTCCGGTCACCTCTTAATAAACCAATTTATCCCCTCGTGTACTGTTCGCTGTGCTCAACCTTTTTTAAATATTCTTCCTTTGGTGTCGTAGTATTGTATAGTCAATTTCAGTTCTAGTGAGGTCTTTGGTTCTTACATTTTTATTAACATAATAGAAAGAGGATTTTGCTGAATCCTTATATTTTTTTCTTTCAGGATTACTAAAGCTGCACCTTGAGAATTGTTCACCAAATTACCAATCTCGTAGTTCTCATTCTGGCCACCAGTTTCAGTTACTGGTGTTGAGTAGGCATAATTGTTTCTAGTCATGTTGTTTGGCAATACTATTTTATTTTTACCGTTGGTACTTCTGGCAGACGTAAAAGTTGTAGTTCTGTGATACCAACTTTGCTAAGTGTACTCAGTTAGTATTTCGCGGGAATTTCAATATGTCAATCAGGAATTACGCTAATAAAAACCAATTGATAAAAATGAGAGTTTATCGTTAAACAAACAACATACGTATCGAAATGATAATAATCAAAGAGCCACAAAAAAGGCATCATTAGGATCTCGGTTTCCCATCTTTCAATTCAAGATCATAGCTTATTTTTATATTTCTCAGATCCTCAGTAGTTAACCAATCTACTCTTTTCAAAAGTTTACCAATAATATCACGAGTGGAATCTAAGATTCTATGAAAAAATTGGTTACGTTAATGCTCGGGTATAAGATGAATAATTCAAAGGTGGTAAGTGCTATTTTACATCTGAATCATAAGATTCTGCAGAAATTGGGATTAGAATTGTTGACATAACTATTAGATATGAATTAAATATGATTACCTTTGGGGTGCAACACCATTTGTTATCTTTGTGGCAATATTTTATTTTTCAGTTTTTGACAATCTAATATGTTTTACTCCTTTATGGACAGCTCTGATAGGGAGATAAGCTCCCCTACCTTTCTCTGCTTCGGGTTTCTTCTGACCCGGAGGGTAGCAACCTGTAAGGGTTCCTTGTCCAGGGATAGAGACAGAAAATGTCAGGTATCATCTGACCATGGTGTGGTATGATCGTTAACAGCCTTCGAGGTTGACACTACTTTCATGACAAGGCAATATGTCATCGTAGCGCAGAAGGAGGAATCGATCTTGAAAACAGTACGAAAAAAGGTTGCCAAAGGAGTGAGGCCGGAATGGCAAGAGATTTCCAAGCACGGCCAGCAGGGAAAGGGCTATTGGCTCCAATAGTATTTCATGAGTATTCGAGATGATCTACTTACTCGGAAATGGGAAAGCCCGGATGGAAGAACCCACAAATTCCAGATAATCCTTCCTAAGACGTATATCCCAAATATCCTTGAACAGCTTCACGATGGTCGCACTGAAGGGCATTTCAGAATGAATATAACTCTATCGAGAGTGCATGAGANAAATTGTTCTTAGAAGGTATAACTTTAGTCCTGTGGATATCTGGAATATGGACGAAACAGAGATCTGACCGAATTGTGGGTAGACGTGGTGTCAAACAAGTTGGAAGAATTATTCAGTCATCTAACAAGGTAGCAACATGTAGTTTTACAGATCTCGAAAATT